GTCCATAATGTGTCAGGTCATGTAACCTTCACCAGAAGGACATTTGGTGGCTACATGGCTAGGTCAAAACAAGCCCAAACAGTAACCAAATAGTGTGAGGTTAGTCCAGCACTGAGACAGTCAGAAAACCCCTGTGAGACTCACCAGAAAGCAGGCTGTATTTTCTTCCCCAAGAGAAAAACCTATAGGTAGAGTGCAACTGGATTTCGCAAGCCATGCTGTCTGCTCCAGGTAACAAGGGACAGTGAAGCCATTCAGACCTGCTCTTTAGTCATGCCTTTCCTCATTATATACAACACTAACTCTGCTTCTTGGGGGGTGGTTGGGAATTTTAATTTTATTTTCAATTAAGGCCTGTCAAGAGGCCTTCCATCAACAACGAAACAATGTACTTCCCTGTTCTTGAGGAAGAATAGGTTCTTTTTTCAGTTCAAGTTTGAAGTGCTAACAAACTAATGAATTAAAGCTTTCACTAACATTTCTGAAGACACCAAGCCATTGGTCTGTGGCCGACTCAAGCTGGAAGTGTGTACATAAAACACTAATGCTTTTCCTGTGCTATTGGTGGTTATGTGTCTACACACAACACTGGGTGGTACACTGCTCACAACAGCCCTCACGCTGTCTGAGCTTGGCAGGGGGCCTGCTCTTGCAAGATGCACACCACTGCTCTTGCCAGGAACTGGGAGTTTAGGGGGCACTCATCTTCTGTACAAGATAAGGATCCCCGAAACACATCTGCTTACTCCTAGAAATGGTCGCAGTAAAGGAGGCTGAGAAGAGCAAGGTCCTGATCACTATCAGCGTATTGGTGCCTGAGGCTGTGCTGCATGCAAGAGCCTCACCCAGCATGCCAGGCAGCAGGAGGTGAAGACTTCTGGGAATCAGACACATTGGAAGCTTTATGAATCAGCACAACCATGAGCACCAGCTGTTCTGGTGATCTGCTCCCTAATTCACGCACCAGCTGAAATCAATACTGATACACAAAACTCAAGTGGTACATGAGGACTGCTGGACTGGACACCCTATTACACATAACCACGACTACTACACAGCAACCGTCACTCACCTCTACCTCCTCTTTTACTGTACCACGGTAGTAAAATCCATCTTGTTCCCCTCTCACCAACACAGGGATGTTGCTGTCTAAACCCATGGATCTCCCTGATGCACTCAGCCTCTTCCATGCTGGGTCAGGGGAAGGGGGGCAGTGGGTAATCCATCGGCACCTTGAAGAAAATGGGTCAGCACTGGGAAAACCAGCTTTTTTTAGGGGGAAAAAGGAAAATGTTGTAAGATTTAAGAACTGTAGCACTCCACCTCCTTCTGTAGCACTCCCACAGGCCAAAGCATGTGGGAAGAAACAGAAAACTTGTTTGTTCTGGGACAATTCCTTCTCTTGGGCAAAAAAGAAGCATCAGTGCTTGTTTTCACCCAAATTTCTTTGGTTTGGAGTTTAGAGGAAGTAAGTTGGAATCCTGGGCCAGCACTACCTGCACTAGCCCATTTGCTCTTTACATGGCAGCCAATGCAACCCCTAAGATTAGGAGAAAAGAGCCATTTCCAGCACAGAGCACAGGGTAGATGCACTCGAGAGCACAGCAACTGATGGTTTACACTGGGGCATTTGGGGAACAACAGAAAAGTAGAAAAGTAAACAATGAAGCTTCTGGTTGATGACAGGTTTAAGTCCAAAACAGGAAAACTAATCCCCTGTCACAAAGCATTAGAAACATTTCACAAAAGACGGCTGCTAATACAAGATGCTTCTATTTATCCAAATAATATTAAAGAAATGTTTCTTTGACAGGAGATTTTTCTCAGGCTTTGCTTTTCATAATCTCCAGGGCAGCAAATCACTGTAGTTAATAACATCTAAACCACTGCCAGTGCAGGGGAGGGGAAAGCTCAAATGACATTCGAGTTGCTAATTTATTCATCTGACACACCAGCCTGTTTTATACTATTAGATATCATGAAAAAGAACAAATCACAGATTCCAACGAGAACTTTATTTTACCTCTGGGGGGGGAGGGGATCAGCGATCCAGGTGGGATGCACTACAAAAGAGCTCCTGCAGCAGGGCCTGACAGTAGGCACGACTCTGGAGCATGAGAACTTGTCCAGAACTGGCATCGCACTGCAATACCTGCGACCTGTAGGAAGGAACGCTTCCAAAGCGGCCATTGTTGCGAAAGCAGCTGGCTGCAGGACTCGGTCCTGATCTGTTGGTAATAAAGAGACAACCATAGTATCATAGAATAGTTAGGGTTGCACTGTCATTTTACAACACAAGCAGATGCTTTCTGGTGTACCTCAAGAGCCCAGTAGCTTTTAGTAATGAATTATTTTAAAATAAAAACAAGCAATTCAAAATATCCAGACTGGCATTTGGTCAGATGAACCCATATTACTGACTTCAGGAATCTGCAAGCACCCAAATCCTAACCTGGTAGAGGGACACAAACACCCAAGAAAACTAGAAACCCTCTGGAAAGCAATAGCCTTTAGCTCCCTCCTACTTTTGTTTCCATCTTTAACATCCAGGTCTCCTATACCTTCACTCTCCTTTAAAGCTTTCCTGTACACAGTTCTAGTCAAACCTTCCCTATTTTACAAGCTGAGGCAGAATCTACAGCTGAAGCTGACAAGCCGAGTGAGCACAACAGGTTTTGAACATGATGTTAGATTACGGTTGCCTGTTATTTGTTTTATTGATAGTGATGTATTAACAGGAAATATTTTGATCTTTCAGCTGTCCTGTCACATTTTATAACAGTAGGATTATGGCCTGCCATGAGAAAGAATGGGATGCTCAGATTTGACAAGTGATAACTATTCAGAGGCTGTCACAGTAAGACTGATGATGTGATGGTATCTCTGGTAATCTGACAAGGTGTAGTAGATAACACAAGCTTCCATTTTATTTTTTTAATATACCTTAGAAGTGTTTCGCATGCTTAGGGTAAAACTTGCATGGAAATTACACACTGTAAATTTTAAGTGTCTAATTTACTTTACAAAATGCAGTTTAAGCACTCTATTACATTTAAATATTATTCTGCCTCTTAGACAAGAGATGATCTGCAATGAGGACTCCCAGGTATATGTAATTTCATAAAACTAGCACACCCAACACACCAAGAAGAGTGGATTAACTGCTACGAAATGTATTTTTAAGTCAGCAAATAACACAACATATTCACTCATTTCACAAGTACACAAACTCCCCCCATTATAAACCAAAATGGAATCAGTAATACTGTGCAAAAAAATGCAAGTATCAATTCTACTTAAAGCACATTTTAAACACTTTCAGCACTGTTACTGCTGAGAACAGGTCCCCTATTTCTGTATAAAATAGGGCACTGACAAAGGCAATTTTACAACACTTTATGAGGGTTGTTTCTTTCCGGGATAATTACAAGTACTTTAACAGCGCAGTGTTTCAAACTTACCGGCTATTGATAACACCAAGTCTGGTTGATTTGGATTTAGTCCCAGCGCAAAAATCTTGCCTTTTGCCAGTTGGGATGCAAGGAGCAGTTTGCTGCCTGTGTTTCCTAGTTGCTATGGAGGTTGCCACAGTTGTAACTGCGGGGATCAAACATCTTGACCTTACCCGTTACAAACTGGTGGAACATGACTGCAGTTCTCTGCATCATTTTCAACTTCCCATTGATCTAGATATTGCATCGAAAGACCGTTGGGGCAGGGAAGGGATTATAAGAGGGCGCAATGTCCTCCAAGCTTTCTGCCAACTATTGAATGGCAAATAACAGCACCATACGAAGCTATAGCTCAGATTTAGGAAAAGGCAGCCTACCACCATGGGGTGTGACAAATAAATCGGTTTGAAATGCAGACAGAAAGGTTAAAGCTGAGACAAACCAAGGTCAGACTGCTTGACGAGCTTTTTCTTTTCGCAATAAAGGGGAAGGATTAATGCATTCTATACTTCCTACAAAGTGCGTATCAAAACCATACCAGAATACAATGCAGAAATCTGCCTGTTAATCTCTGCTGTGATCCCTAATCTGCATTTTCCCTAAATGAATGTTAAGTTTTTGTATGGTTGTGGGTTTTTGTTTTTTTTTTGGGGGGGGGGGGGTTGTTTTTTTTTTTTTGGGGGGGGGGAGGGAAGGAAGGAATACTTGATTTCATTTTGTTATAAAAACAAGATAACAGAGAGGGTGACTGCAATTAGGGACAAGCACTTAGGAAGCCTGTAACCATTTTCTCTACATTCTGCTGCACCAACAGACTACTTGCTCTCATGCCGTCAGCAGAGGATCAATAGCAAAATACCCTTAAATACAGCAAGTATTAAGAACATTTTGCCAGTTAAGAGCTAAACTCTCTTCACACAAATCTATTCCCATACCACTTAGCTGAAACCGTCAGTAGTACAGGGAAACAGACTGGCTGGTCAGGGAAGACCATGCCAGACCTCAACCATTATAAGTCCACAAAATTGTCTGTTGCAGGATTATTCCCCCACACACCCTGTCCAAGGCAATTCTCCCTTGCCAATTCTCCTTATACTGTGTATTGTGTGAGTAATCCTAGTAATCTTTAAGGGCACCAAGAGCTGAAGAAATATCCAATTTTCAACAGAAACTAGGTTAAATCAACAGTTCTTAATGGAATTAAAGCATTCATTAATAAGAAAAGAACACTTGCACAACATTAATTATGCTCTATGTTCAGTAACGTGCTTCAGAAAGCTGCTACCCTCTTTTTATTTCCCCCCTTTTGAACTAAGTTATCTTTTCTGTTGGCACCTAACAACACCCCTAGGAAGCTTTAAAAAGACCTTTTAAGAGAAAAACTGGCAATTAGGCCAAATTTTTTTTAAGAACGTACCTGTGAGAGTAAACCAGTCACATTACAGAAAACAAGAGGAATCTCAGTCCAATCAGCAGAAAGACTTTATTTTCAAGCGTGCAGGTTGTGATGACACATACAGTCACTTCACACGTACAGGTTATTACATGTTTGGTTTGGTGACAACTTTATAAATGCTTTGTGATTTCCATAAATTAACTAACTTAGGCCATTCAGATCAGATTTCTTCAGCTGTCTTTTTCATATCTAAGTGTAGTTACTTTCTGCATAATTAAAATTCTTTTGTGTGGGCCTATACTGGCTCGCACTATGATCTGCTTCTAAGATGCACCAGGAACATGCACATCATTAATACAGTAGGTTCCCAGACAGGATACCTTTTGCTTGGTTTGGAATGGTTCAAATAGTCTTCAAAATCTGGTTTTGTTTGTTAATTGCTGCAGGTGCTTCGCTCCATGACACTTTTTTCTGCCACCACAGAATCACTGTACAGAACGGACTGCAGGTAGCTAATGTATTTTATAGCAGCACGGAGTGTCTCTACTTTGCTGAGGCGTTTCTCCAAGTATTCCTTGGGTAGGTGATGCCTCAGTTTAGCATAGCCTTCATTGACACATTTAACCCTCTGCCTTTCCCTCTCATTCCTCTTTCTGATGAATGCTGTCCCATAGGAGTACTCACTTCTGCGGTAATTGGAACGGGGCATTTGGTAGGGAAAGGCACAGGGCTCACTGTAGAAATTCCCCATGATGAGATGCTCAGACATGAAAGGAAGGAATGACAAATCTTCAGAGCAAGTGACCTGGCTTGGTGTTTCTGGGTACACATGAAATGTGAGCACTGGGTCAGCACAGAAAGACCTAGCCAGCTGTACGCGCTGAGTCTCAGAACAGATAGACAGCTTGTCCATGAGGTTACAGTAGCTTTTGCCATCCGTCAGGTTCTGCATTTAACCTGGAAATGCATAATTACATAACAGTTTAAACAACTCATATCAAGCAGTAGGAAAAACCTCACCTGGACTTACCAACATTTGGCATTCCTGGCATTTTCCAGTAGAGACTTTTAATGCATTTGTGACACTTCAGAGTGGTGTTGGAAGACTTACATAGAGCAGACAACGTCCCATTTGAAAACACAAGAAAGTTCAAGTAATTATTTTAATCACTGATTAAAATAATTCACAATAGATTTACAGAAAATAAAGCCACCAACACTTCCTAAAGGAAACAGCAAACACTCCCACCTCAGCTACAGAAATAATCTACTTCTATGTACTCCACATGGGTTTAGGGTCTCAAAATCTACCAAAACTTTCATCTCTACAGACAATAAACAAAGCAGGCCAATGTCTGAGGCATTCTCTCAAACCGCTTCTCCTCCTTGAAGAAAATTACAATTCTAGTGACAGACTCCCTATCCATACCAAAAAGCCTTCAAAAGGAATTATTTTTTCTCTCTATTAATTTGTTGTTTCATTCACTGTATTATCTTCATAGATAGAAAACCTGTGCAGGGAATGGATCTCAGTCTTAATTCTATGTTTGTCAGGTATTACATCCATTCCACAAAAAAGTTTACAAAAAGTTTAGAGGACTAATTTCTGCTAAACCTAATATCCCCTTAGGTCCTCATGCTCCTTCTGTGCTCACCTGCAGATAGGAAATGCCAAACACAATCCCACTGATAAAGGATTATGAATTAATTTATTAAAAGAAAAAAATGCACGTCCTAATAATATTTCCAGTTACAAAGTCATTTAGGCAGCGCTAGAAACCTGTAACTCAGACTGGCCTACTAAAACCATGTACCCTCTCTTTAGAGCAGCATTACAGCAAGTGTAACTACTCAAATCATCCTTATATATTTATTAGAAATATAAACTTGCAGTCTTACAGGAAGCTACATTATAGTGCCTTCCCAATATCATTATTCCAACAGCTAACTATCAGCATAACTAATGATTGCTACTTGATAGCTACCTAAAAAAACATTTTTAATACCTAGCTGATTTTTAAAGAATTTCTGTGACCCACCCTCACATACTGCAAGCAATACTTGCCTACACAGCATCTATCAAAAAATGCTCTTACCACCCACTTCCACATCTACACATTGCTGTCTAAAACACTTAGGTTATGCTACACCCCCTAAAATGGAAACACACGTGAACATTTAACTAGGTTACTAGAAACTACACTCCATTCTCACAAAACCCTTGCAAAGCTTCAAATGTTCCAACTGTAGTTCCACAACATAAATGGGATTCCCTTAATCCTTCACAGGATATGGGGATATTTTAACATTTTCTAACGACTTCATACCAACCATGTCTAAAACAAAGGGAATTTTTACTCAGTATGGACCTACCCTCATAACACATTCTATCAAAATGCCTCTGTATTCAGCTTTGTCTCTTTTTCTAATATACATAGATCTCACAACAGAAATTCTATGAGTTAAGAATTCATTTATAGTATGCAATTAGGCAAAAGAGAAAGTCACATGCATCTTAAACAGGTACGTCTGTAGGTAGGCACAACCAACCACACGTTTTACATTAATACACATGCAGAAAATCAGAGGTGAATATATACTCATTATAAAATGAAAATACTAGACAGTCATCTTTCCATTTCCTAGTTATACAGGTCAGGTTATTGTCTAAAAACTTTCTACTGCTAACAACTTAAAAACAGTCTGACGAAAAGTGCCTGTTACATAGCAACAAAACCCCCAACTTTATAGCAAAATATTGCATAGAACAAGAAACCAAAGCCAACATAACCCCTCAAAAAGAGATACTTGCAGTATTTGTTGTCTAGTACTGACACTTCTGCTGCATAACAACATTAAACAGTTATTTTTGCCTTATTACCTGCAAGAAGTCTTAGGATCATTTATCTTCTAGACTAGAGACTCACCAATCTTCAGATGAAAGTAAAATCCAAGGAAACAAGACGTGCTATTTTAAGACTGATGAATAATACCTGAAAATATCTGAACGACATTCAAAAGATAAGTTAATATCCCATTTTCTTACACCTTACTTAATAAGAGATCACATTGAACATGATTAATTAAAAAACTAAAGCAGCACTGTTACTGAATAGCTAGTAGAAGTGATTTACAAAATCACTGATATTCAATGAAGATCTGTTGCTAGATACAGCAATACACAAGTCTCTTACCTGGATTATGTAGCTAGAGCCAATAACTGCGGCAATTTATAGTCAATTGACAACATGCAAAGTAGCTTACAGTTAGATCTGCTCATTTCTGGTTTGGCTTTTCCAACCACACCAGCTATGATGGCAACAAAACTTGGCAACAAGTGCTAAAAATTTTAAAACTGTATTGAACACAACCAGATTACAGGAATATACTTTGTTTACTTCCTGTATGTATTCTGTTACAGTGAACTAAAGCAGTGTTTTAATTTATTGGCAATTCATACCTTGATGTCTGAATATAAACAATCAGTCTAAATTTAAGTATTTACATCAAGGCATAAGTAAACTAATTTTCATAGCTTCATTTCAAACACAGAAAATCAGCATTTATTTAGAAGAACCTTGTAATGGATTTGTTTCCAGGTTAGAAGTGAGAACACGTATTAGTTAGCTTAATAGCTTCAAATTTAATCTTCATTATACCTATAATTTTGAGAAATTCCCTTAGAGTTAAGAAGTATAACACCATATAAAAAGTCCCTAATAAAGAATTTATGGAGGTTCTCAAGACAAGATTTGAAAACAGTGAGAAATCGGCACCAAGACAAATGTTTTCAAGTTTTGCTTAAACTTAGAAACACAGTATGGAGCAATCTATCCCTACAATCAAAGACAGGCATAGGCATACAGATGCAACATGTATCAGTATATAGCTGTCCAACTGTACAGGTGCAAGGAAATATGACACCCCACTTCAGAACTCCCACATTTTACAGGATTACCTGACACTTTAGACTATTTCATTATTCGACCCTTCTGTCACTCATACTAAAACCACACACACAAAAAACCAAACCAAACCAGCTTAGCTTAAACACTTGATCTACTACCAAGAGAGCTATGTACACCCGGTCTTGTCTTCTTGGGACTGTCAGCATCGAAGAAAGTATTCTGATTCAGCTGCCCTTGTGTGGGCCCACAGAAATGCTATATTCTGCATTCTCGTTTCCATGCCAGCTTCAGACCTCATCAGAAAGGCAGCCACGAGGTAGAACATTTACTAGAACTGGTAGAGGCATGTATTCAATACACAAGTTACATTATTTTTCTTTAGGGGACCCTAGGTACATCACCATCAGAATAGATTATTAATTTATCAGTGTGGGATGTTGAACCCAAGCTTGGATTTAATCCCCAAGATTAACTCGGTTTTTGGATGACTACGGGACTGACAAGAGAATAAAGCTCTGCATCTGCAAAGAGCTTCAGTCAATGCAAATGTTACTATGGGGCAACTGTGTTTCCACTCCAGTTGTGGCAGACCATGTGTACAGGTATAGCTGGTGCAGTTTATTTCCCATGCTACTCTGTCCCACAGGCTATGGACTAAGCAAGCCAAAACCACACCTAACATACAGTACTTTCCCTTCCACACCGGAGCTGACAATTGAGCAGGACAATAATGTAACTCCATATGCATAGCTAAATTAAAAAAACATTTTTCAATTAGCAATTTGGTGAGCCCATCCTTCCTTTGCCTAAGCACTGACCAAGTGGTATTTCTACTCTGATGCATTTTCAGAGAAGTGCTTTTATAGATGGATTTTACATGTAGGGTAATGAGGGAGGAAAAAAAGATGACATACAGATAGCATACATCCAGTTTTCAAAAATCAGTTTTATCTTTAATTGTTACATTCCAAAGGGGATATATGAAAGTCATCTAGCAACCATATACCTCTTGAGAGATAAGTACAGAATCACAGATACAAAAAATACACCTAACTCTCAAGATGACAGGTGCTAGAGAAAGTATGTGCCTTACACCATCAATCCAGACAAATGCAGGAAGATTTTTATAATAAATATTTCATCATATACTAACTCCTGAGACTTTACCCATGAAAAGAAAGGGAAAAGATCTTTTTTTTTTAAAGAGATATCATACACATACAATATATTAAGCTATTAAAGCAAAATAGAACAAAATGCCAACACTGTCTTTATATGCACTGCATTTGAGTTTATCTACATCACAGTACGTTAAGTATGCAGCTCGAAGACTCAGTGTTCCATTTAACTTTCACCTTAAATCTGCAAACATCACTTGACATACAAGCATCTTGAAAGTATAAGTGCAAAGAACCAGATGATGAATACAGCCAATTAGGATTTCATCCTCTGATATGAAAGATTCTACACTGCAAGATTCAGATTTCCCGTACCTAGCATAAGTCAGCAGAAAATCCAAGTATATTTACAAAAGGTCTTTACATAAAGTGATTACTGATTTGCAAGTAATGACTGCGCTCCCAGGTACTTTTTAACCACATAAATAGTAGAGAGAAACATACAGTTAAAAACACCATAAATCACAACTGTAAATAAGGTACCACAGTGGCTACCCAAGATATCTCAAGGTTTATTTTCTTTTCAGTTTTGTTAGTAAAAGCCATTTGAAAATGTGAAGATCTTAGCTTTTGGTTAATCTTTTAAAATTGCTTCCACTCCAGTACATTCCTTCAAAGTTCAAATACTTTTTTTTTTTTTTTTATTAATAACAAACCATTCAAGAAAACCCTTCTGAATTGGCAGGATCAGGAAGACATAAGTCAGCTCTTTCAATTAGTTCACTTTATTTCCCTGGAGTTATCTTACTGAGACACAATTAACTCAGCACAACATGACGGTCAAAGACAGATTTGCGTTGCTCTTGGACCTGTAGCTTCCAACGCTGCTGAGCATACTCCACTTTGTTCAACACATTGGCGCGGCTTCGAGAACGAGCCAGCACATCATGTGCATTTGCAAAAGGCTGGTGATCCTGGAATAGCAAAAATCATTAGTTTAGATCTCAACAATTCCACTGAGCAATTACATTAGTCATCTTCGTAGTTACATTCCAAAGGAGGTGGGGGTTGTTTTGGTTTGTTTTTTTTAAGTAAACAAGCTGTTTCAACAAGCTGCCAGTAATAATGACCCAGCAAGTTTTTGAATAGTTAGAACTGTACTGCAATTTCCCATCCAAAGTAACTTCCACAGGTTTCCCAAATAAACCAAACTTCATAGTACTGTCAAACAATTATGTGCTGCCCACAGACCCCACAGTGAACTGCAAGATCAGAACCACAGTCTTGCATCCATAGCAGCTGGTGGGACAGAAGCCTAGAACAGACCCAGGAATGAGGAGTTTCCTGTTATTGTCCCGAATGCACTCCACTTGAAAGCTGAATTAGAGTCAGTTCTCTGCCAGCTCTTGGCCATTTACCATCAGGCAGTTCAAGATGTTTATACACAGCTTCTATATAAAACCAACACACTCTGATGTTTACCAAACTAAACCTATTGTACTGAGCTGTCTAAAAGCACAGTGTCAATACAGCTGTTTAAGTGTCAGAGCTCAACAATAACTGAGTGCTTGTTTAATATTTACTCTGTTTTCTAACAGTACCTGCAAAGCTTTATTTTCTTATAGTAAATATAATCAGGTTATAAACAGTAAGAGTTAGAACTGAACTTATTTGGCTATCAAACTGTTTTGGACAAATGTCACATTGCTAAATCTATGTCAGAAAGTATCATATATACAATGCATAATGAAAAATAACATAATTATGTCCCATATTAAATAACTGACTTCTTTGCACGTCTACACCTTTTTTTTTTCCCAGAACACTTTTGAATACATTTACATTAATGGATACTTTATTTGTAAATAAATTTGTACTGCGTAGAGTAGCTCAATAATATTTCTTAGTAGTACAGAGATTATCATTAATGATACCCATTGAAGTGATGCCTACAAGTCCCAAAGCCACACACGAACCTCACTGGGCTAAGAAACACGCTCACAGATAACAAGAGAGAATCCGTGACCCACAGAGCTATAGTGTCATAATAAAAATACATGCAGTTGGATATACCTAGAACAGGCAGGTAACAGGTGGCAAATCATTTAAATCACAGGGAAACAAAATCATGATAGCAACACATTTCTGCCATAAAATAGATAGTGGGAGTGAAAGCACAGGACAACCTACATGGTGCTGGCTTCCCTGATAAACAATCTCAGCTCAAAAGTCTAGGTCCTGTCGATTTCTATGTAGACAAGGGGAAAAAAGAATTTAAGAGAAAAGAGGTCTGTGCAAGCAGCTTACATTCATCGGTTGCCACTGCCATTAATGGGCAATGAAAAAGAGCAAACATACTAGCTTGAAATCCAGCAACAAAACTGATGCACAGAAAGTGTGACAAAGATCAACACCCCAAGGACTTGCAAGAGGGAAGGCAAAGATGGGGATAAGTCATGAGGGTCCTTAAATTATTTCATGTTCACTGTCACAGAAGGAGAATAAACAGGAAAGGACCAATATAAACGAGAGCAAGGACTTGTGAAGTACTTTTTGTTCTGAGCACTGCTGTAGATAAAAGCAATAGTGACTCCACTAACCACAGTAACAAGGGTCACAGTAACAGTTACAATAAAACACAAAACTGGTTAAAATGGATCCAGATTTTAAGGTAAATTCATTCTGCAGTTAACCTGAGTTCTGCTACAGAACTTATTTCACTTTTCTACCTACTATCAGAAGATTCTAACCCAGATTTGGAGGTATTAATATGATCCATTTAAGGTATAAAATAAAGGTACAGCATACAGTACAAATTCATGTTATTCAAGTAGTAATCTGCTCAATCTGCTGTAAGAATGCAGACAGAAAAAGGGTCATTCAAATCCCTCCTTTAAAAAAAACAACCCAACAAACAAAAACAACACACCAACAAAACCAAAACCCCAATATCCTCTTAGAAGTGACTGGGAAATCTTAAGATGTCGATACAAAGACATCTGGAATACATCTCCATGTAATATAATACATAAGGAAGTGCAGAAATAGTGGGGCATAACAGCAGTAGTATACCTCTGTTTAAAGAACCTTCAATTTCAGACAGTGTTAGCTCAAACTTGGCTAACAATCCCACATTTATGTTATGAAATCAAGGTAAATAAAGAAGACACAGCTGATAAAAGCTATTATGCTTGATTTTGATTACTTAGTATGCTCCCCCAACAGAACAGAACACCTTTGTAAGTCAAAATGGCTGATGTGGCTACTGTTGATGAAAAATGGTAGAACTAAAGTATATGCTTTATTAGCATATACTCAGTTTATGTTAATTCAGAATATGCTCAGTTTACTTAGCAGTGATGGCTGTCACTCCAAAACCAGAAACAACTTGGAGAAGCTGAGCTCAATTCACATTAAAACCTACAGATACACAGCATAACCGACCATAGCATTTACCAGTTTTGATACAGTCAGATCTATGAAGCCACCAAAACAACAGGTAATGGAAACTACAAGACATTTTAAAAGATTTTAAAAGTCTTGCCATCATAACTTTGTTTCACCAAGAATAAATGTATTTTTCTCCTCCTATTAACTTCCTAGTTATTTGAAGGAGCCATGAAAATATTATTAACAATTTTATTGCAAGACGCTAATAAAAGTTTAAAGTCTTTCTGACTAGCTCTCATTTACTTCAACAGTAATAAAGTGCTCATGTCTGCTGGTTAAGCAGACAGCAATCTTCCCATTTCATATGCTGGTTTTGGTTTCAAAAATTCTTTCTAAGGTTACACCACACCCAAAATATGCTTTATCAGTAAAAGCAGTGCTGCTCAAGGGCTCAATACTGAAAGTACACTGATGCTGAGACTTCAGAACTGTTTTATCAGTTTGTGTGGTTCAGCACTGACACTTCACCACCAACCCAAATGCCATTGTAGAAAACCTTCCTAATGGTACTTTATGGCAACACTCTCCCAGGCATGTAGATTCATCAGGTTCAGATACACACAGATTCATCAGATGCAAAGCCAGTATTTTTACACTACTCAAAGTCCCCCTTCAATACAAAATGACCTACTTCTACCAACCAGTATTCCTTATCCACACTGACCAGTTACTTAAGTGTTTCCCTCTTTCCAGCATAGTTTTATATGGTCTCATAACCCTTTCTTGTAACAACTGAAGACAATTTTGTTTCATTTTTATTAGAAGTCAAAACCACTATGTTGAAAATTGGGAAGGCCAGTAATGACAGGAAACTAAGTCATTAATGGACTGCTTCCCTTTTCCTGCCCCAGAAAGATTGTTCTGATCTGTTG